AAAAGCAATATCTAGCATATTTATGCAAAAGTATACCTTTGATATAGAAAATGGAAACCAAGAGATTTTACTAAGACTTAAGTATAAAAAGCATATGTTTTCATAATTCAACGTGAAGATTTGAACTCAGTTATATTTTTAAAAAGTCAATAATTCCAATTCATTTACATTATGGAAGACATTATGTATAGGATTTTTAGCCACTCTTAGCACTAAGGCTGACAAGAAAGGGTATATTTCTAGGTTTGAAAATAGTAGATAAGTTGTTACTTTTATCAGCATGCACAGAAGAATTCTATTATTTTATATAAATATTAAGGTTAACAATTAAATTTATAGCTTCAATAGTGAATGAAGTAATTAAAATCTCAGTCTCTTTAGTCAATAAAGAAGTTATCTTAATTAACATCTCAGCATTTCATATCACTGCCATTTTAAAAAATTTAGCATATATTAATATTAAAATAATATTACCCATCTAATTTTAATTGAATAAAGGAGAAAGTTAACAAAGTAATGAAGTTTTACTCATTTTTCTGCTTATTGTTTTTATCAATAATGGCACAAAGATTATGGCATATAATATTTTTAAAATTTCATTTATTTAATTAACAGTAAAAGGTCATATTAGAACAACTTCCAGATAGGAACACAAGTGAAAGACACAGGACACCAAGATATTTTTACCTGTTGAGCCAACCGACCATGTAATATTCAGATTAAAGTTGTTTGATGCATTAATTGATATATCCAAATTTTTGTTCGACTACCAAGAAAAAAAGATTAAAGTTAAAAAATACAAATTACACTAGATAGACATGATTTAGTCTACTAATTTAATTATGTCCATATTATATTTCTTAGACTATATATTTTGTAAATATTCAACTATGTGTAGATGCCATTTATACTTATATTTTAATGAAAAAATGTACAATAAATTCAAAGGTAGTTTTAAATTTCTCATTTATCTTCTCTTTTAATTTGGCTTTTTGCATATAAGCCACAGGCTTATATTTGATATTTTTATTTTTATTCTCTTTGCTTACTTGTAATTAATATTTAAATGATATAGGTTTGGATTAGTCCAAAGTAATTTTATAGCAATATAAGATTGTTTTATTGAAAGACTTCTTGTTAGGTGCAAACATATTTTCTAGTGGAAAAATACTTTAAATACATAACTAAAACTTTTAGGGAAAAACAATAAAGCTACTCTGGAAAAAAGAGCAAATCACATTATTTAAACAGCTAAAGAGGAACACTGAAGAATTTAAAATGATGTCATTCAACTTGCTTTTTGTTATACATTAGTAGGGTACAGACTCCATTTTATTTCAGAGAAACAAATGTCTGAGAGATTTTGTTAAATGTTATTCATTATTTTCTTACTCCAAGAAGAGAGGAACAGAAAGTAGGAATGATTATATTTAATAACTATGTGCAAAGGCAAAGAATGATAGTCATATTAAAGAAACCTAGCTTCAGACATTGAGTATATTATGCTTTGTTTTAAATATACAAAGACTTGTAGAAAAATCTATACTGCTAAGCCAGACCTGGCTACGGAGTAAGAGAGAGAGAGAGAAAGGGAATATTAACTCCTTAGTATTACTATTTTTTTCTAATTATGATGAAGCAATCAAATTCCCCATTTTTGACAGTCTTCGGGGGAAAGTGACTAAAGGATGTGGCCCTTTGTGATGGATAGGAGTAGAAAGGAGCACCATAAAAAGTCAAAGCCTCCTGGATGATATGTCACTCAGGCATAGTGTACATCCCATTTGAATGATGTACGCTAAGCCCCAATCTTATACCTCCAAATAACATCCACTCTTTTTTTTGTATTTTCTTTTTTTTAAATTTCAGAATATTATGGGGGTACAAATGGTTAGGTTACATATATTGCCTTTGCCCCACCCGAGTCAGAGCTACAAGCCTGTCCACCCCCCAGGCAGTGAGCATCGTTCTTAATGATTTCCCTACATGGAGGACAGCTTAGCCTCTATGAGGAACTATTAACAGTGTTCCAAATCCATCAAATGATACTCTCCTCACAGTTTCCTAAAAGCAAATATGATTTCAAGAAGAATGATAATCATGAAAGAGCACAGAAAATAAAATTTGTTATAATAAGATTTAATGATTGTCATAAATATTTTCAAGGTTGTACCCATTCATATTGCAGAGATAGCATCTGAGAATTTGAAGTAATCAAAGAAAAATAAAGCCATAGAATTAAAATATATTCCGTAAGTCAGAAGGATACTACGTTATCCATCATAGTCATATTCACAAATGGCCATGAGTGTAAGAAGGAAGTTAGCATGTTTTGAATTCATGGGGTTTATTTTTAAATAAGCATACTCTGAGTTGAAATGTGTAATTATAAGCATAAATTCTTTTATAAGAATATATAGAGAAAAATTATGTATCATCTAAATTATAGGACTGTGTGCAAAATATGACATATTAAACTCACAAATTCTCTGAATCACAAGGATACCTAAGTTTTGTGAAAAGAAAAAATTAACAGAATTAGTGTTTTCTGCAAAAGCCCTACAACAATTCTGAGAAGAGAAAAATCATGATGAAAGATGACAGAAAAGTTGTATCCGTTGAAACTGGTATAATTACGTTGTAAAAGATAATGATCTTTCCTCACCTGTTCTGGGTTTGCTATAAAGTTTATGGCAGTGTGGTGGCGATCATCTTCCTGTAATAAGCTGAAGGTAAACTGATAGTCAATCAAAAGGCTGTCTGTGGGGAACAAAAAAAGTAGAATCCTGATACGTACTTTAAAAAACTGTCTGAAAAACAAAAGTTAGGTGAAAATATATTGCATGTTAGTATTGAAAATGATTATCGATAAATACTAATGGCCTATTCAATACTAGCAAAATATAAATATTTGTCATCAAAAAACAAAATGCAAAACACGGATATGGAAGAAGTCCTAATTCTTTAAAAATGATATTTATTAATTCTGATATCATTATAAAAATACTAAAAAAATGGACATTCTGGAAACTGTACAAAAGAGAATAAAATATTAGCTATCCATGATCATATAACTAGAGAGAAATACTGTTAACATTTCAGTGTATTTTATTTCTGTTAAAATTCTGTACATATAAAGATAGACATTTTCATAAAACTTCATAACTTTCATAAAACAAAATTCTTTGAAAACATGAACTTTAATGGCTAAATATTTCATCATACACTGTAATGCACCGACTTTTTTGTTTTCTATTATGGGCATTTATACTTTTAGTGATTTTAAAATAACTCTGTAGTAAACATTATTCTACACATGTGACCTTTATTCACATTGATATTAATAAAAGGAATTCAGGGGAAATACATTTTTAATTTTATCCATACACAATGCTGAAACCAAGATGCAACATTTAAATACTGTAGGTTATGAGTGGTTATGCATGTTACATGAGGGTGAAATATTGCTCATAATGTCAAACTGCTACCTTTATAAAAATATTTTAAATTATTTTAAATAAATAGAGATGACTTTTATCTTTTGGATACATACCTTTCATGTTATGCCCTCAGCCATTAAAAACTATTAATATAAAATGTAAAGATGTGATTACTATAACTGGATTTATTGTATAAACTATCAAGGCATCTTTCATGTTGCTTGTATACTTTATAAGATCCTCCCTATATATTTTTTGTATAATTTAGTAAGGCAACATTTTCTCTTTCTAAGAATTTATAGGCACCCTTATATCTGACAGTGAGAAATATGCAAGAGGTCATATTTCCAATTTTCATCTGACTGCCAAAAATGCAAAGAAAAATTCAATGTGCTAGTGTTGTTCTAGGCGCTGGAGATAGAACAATAAAAGAGAAAAATTTCTATCCTCATGCAACTTATATTCTATTGGATGGACATAAGAAATTAATGATTTAAGTATATAGCATATCGGATGATGATAAGTCTTCTGGAGAATAATAACCCAGTGAAAGAAGAGAGAAATTGCTGTCAGAGTAGGAGTATGCTTGTAATTTTGGAAGGAATATTTAAAGATCAAAGATAGTAAGAGAATAAGCCAGGGAGCTTACTAGAAAAAATGTATTCTACGCAGAGAGAACAAGTACAAAAACCTCAAAGCAAGAACAAGGCTTAACCGTGATTCTTGTAGAGGCTCTGGCAACAGTGCAGACAAGAGGAGATGGAGGCTAGCCTAAGAGCAGCGAAGAAGGTCTTGAGAAGTGGTCAGATACAGGCAATGTATCTGGAAGGTACAGAAAGCAGGATTAGCTATATAAATGGATGTAGGCTTTGAAAGAAAGAAAAGCAAAGGGTTTTTTTGTTTGTTTGTTTATTTTTGTCCTAAGACCAAGTGAAAGTCACCATTTATTGAGACGGAGATTTGGTTTTATTGTGGTGGGAGTTGGGGGACTAATTAGGAGCTTAGTTTTGAAGATGTTACCTTTGAGATACTTATTGAATAATTAGATGTTTAGTCAAGCTCAGGAGCATGTCTTGTAGGTAACAACTTGTAAATCATGAGCATTTCAGTGGGATTTAAAGCCATGAAGGCAGGAAATCACCTTTGCAGACAGGTCCCAGGGACAAACCCCGAGGTATACCACTCTTAAATGATCATCCTGAGGAAAAAACAGCAAAGGAGACTAGGAAGGGGCGACCTAGGAGGTAAGAAGGCACCCAAAATTTAGTGTTACGGAAGTCAAGTAAATATTGTGTTTAAAAGAGTAGTGGTAATAGTCAAATGCAGCTGACAGAGTTTCAGAAGAAGGGCTGCAAACTTGAAAAAGATAGTATCTATTTAGAATGAAGGAAAAATACCACTAAGGAAAAGCAACTCCTTCAAAACTATTTTCACAAATTCATCTACACAAGTATCTTTATTTTTTTCAGGATTGAAACTAAGCATTAAGAAGTCAGGAGTGGATGGCCTTTGGGAGGTAGGGACTGGGTGACTTAGGACACCTGAGCAATCCTAAGTAAAGGCTGCAGTGCCCCATGTCTAGGGACATTTTTCTGCCTTTATAGACTCCAGTCTTTGTCAAAATATGCCCCACCAAATTCTTGAGAGAAATCAAGCATGAATGCCTGGTCTTCTTATTTTTTTCTTATTTATTGGAGTTGAAAGTACCAGATCAGTACAACGTATCCTGTGTGTGGTAATAATCAATCCTAATGTCAGTTGGGCTAAAACATATAAGCCTCAATGCTAGAACAAAATTAGCAGGAGTATCGCTCAATTCAAGTGAAAGAGTACCATTCGGTGAATGTGAATTACTACAAATTGAAGAAAGAAAATTTAGACTTCTATACAAAACATTTCCTTTTAAAGTTGCTTAGAATGAAAGTCTTCTAGAAGCCAACTACACAATTTTCCACTTAACCAGGAGATTATATATTTCTCCCCAGAATTTAAAAAATAATATTGGTATATTCTTAAGTGGTTACAAAGGAATAATTACCTGACAACTTAAAACATGTAACTTAATGCTGAAATATGCTCTGAACTTCTTAGCTAAGTAAGCTATAGGACATAAAACATTAAAATTTAAAATATGTCTCAAGTTTATGTAAATATACATAATTTGGAAAGTAAGTTTTCATGCTGCATTAATGAACCACTCTATTACAATATAAAGAAAAGAAGCCATGATTGACAATAAATCAATTTGAATAATTTTTTGCTTTATTGATAAATACAAAGAAATGACAACGTAGCAGGAGGAATAAGTATGATCAAGACAGGTAAGAGCTTCATATTTAGATTGCAGAAGTAGCATGTTTTTATGCTAATTGGAAACACATTACTAGGAAAGAAAACTGACGAGACTGGAAAGGGAGGAGAAATTTTAGAGCTATCCCCTCAGGTAGGTAAATGGTGATGAGATCTAGTTCAAAAAAATATAAAGATTAGGTATACTCAAGAGTGCAGACAGGAAATCACATTATGCGTAGAGTGGGTTAGAAGTGTGGTGGTGGGATTATATAGAAGCTGTCTTTTGATTTTTTCTATTTTTCTCAGTAAAACTGGAAAGGCCATCAGCTGAGAATGAAATGGGGGGGATATGAGGAGAGAGGAAAGATATAAAATAATCATCAAAAACAAGGAAAGTAAAGAGACTAGGGAAATATAGTTATGAGACAAGTGAGTATGAATCTGAAGTGAGATTGGTTAGCATAATTTGATATTTTTCTATGGCTGAGTGTTCAGAGCAAGGTGAGAATTCAATTTATCTTGTATTAGAGTATTGTCAAGTATAGAGGATAAAGTAAAGCAAGGGCAAGGATTTGAGGATATATGCATAAGAGAATATTATCTATAATACTAGTTCAAAATGTATTCTTAACAGAGCATAGGCACTTTCAAATTAAGATCTCTACATTTCGCTTTCACACCCACATATATTTTAAGGTGATTGTCATATATATTTTAATAATATCATATTCATTCGTTTACTCAATAAGCATTGACTGAGTTCCAACTATTAAATACATACCGGAAAGTAAGTACTGGCAAAAAAAAAAAAAAAAAAGATAAAATGCACATTTTCTACTCTCAAAGAACAAGCAGTTAATAAGAAAGGTAATTAGAACAAATAATTTTTTAAAATCAACAGTAAAATATGTCATAAGAATTAGGACAACAGCAAGGACAAAAAGGTGAAAGGAATGGGAAACAGTACAAGTTAGCCCAGATGGACATGGAAGGCTCACAGAAGAAGAAATACTTAAGGTGAGCTTTGGAAATTGAGTAAGAGTTAAGCAAAAAAGATGTGAAAGAGACAGTCAAGGCAGAAGGAAAAACATGTCCAAAGAAATGAAGGAGATTAAGAACATATTATATTTAGGAGAATCCACTTGTCTCCATTTTTGGTGCACAGGATATATGTGAGGGGAAGTCAGGAGGGGAAGACAATAAGAGACTTACAGTTCTAGATGAATCAGATGGAATGAGTGTGTTCCACCCTATCGTTCTGGCCAATTACAACTAAAACTCGAGATAAAATATACAAAACTATCAGAAGACTCTGAACGGTGGAGAAAAGAAGATGGATTGGCTAGGGACCACGGCACTCAAGCAGGTAACCCACTGGTGAGTTCCCTGGTTTTAGCGGGTTTTGTTAGCTTCTTTGTTTTTGCGTCCTGTATATCCCCACCTGAGTGCTAGAGCACCTGCAACCCGGAAACACTAACAACTCAGACGTAATAAAAAGCCCTTAGAAAATCCTGCTGCTGTGAGAGACTGAAATGAAGACCTGCAGACCATACCCATCGTGTACTAAGATGAGCAGAGGTAAAGCCTATATTGCAGTAGGAAACTATAAGTGAAGCTGTTTTGATTATCACTGCCCTGCTCTAAAGCCGCCATAAATAATGTTCCCCCCCATCCCTACAAGATACAGAGATTGTGAGTGGAGCATAGTCACTATTGTTGCCCTGGGCTAAGTGAACTTCAGCAAAGAAGCAGTACCCCTCCCCCTGCTCAATGAGAGAGTTGGCTATATTAATATCAGACAAATTGCCAGGGACAAAGAGGGACATAACATGATGATAAAAACGTCAGTTCATCAAGAAACATAACAATCCTGAATGTACATGCACTGAAAAACAGATTTAAAATACATGAAGCAACTGACAGAAATAAAGAAAAAACAGA